GACCCCGCCGGGCGCCCCCCTCCGCTTTCCGCCGGGGGAGGAGGAGGAGGAGGAAGAGGAGAAGGAGGAGGAGGAGGAGGAGGAGGAGGAGTCCTCGGAGGGGTCGGGAGGAGGAGGAGGGACCCTCCGGGGCGCCCCCTTCGAGGCGTCGTCGTCGCCGCCGGCCGTCCGCCGTCGCCCGTTCGCCGTCGCCGTCGCCGTCGTCGTCGTCGTCGTCGTCGTCTTTTCTCCCTCGTCGTTCTTCCTCCTCCGCCTCCTCCTCCTCCTCCCTCCCGTCCCTCCTCGTCCTCCTCCTCCCACTCCTCCCTCTCCTCCTTCTCCTCCTCCTCCTCCTTCTCCTCATCCTCATCCTCATCCTCCTCCTCATCCTCCTCATCCTCCTCCTCATCCTGCTTCTCCCTTCCCCTCCTCCCTCCTCCCCAGTCGTCCCTCCTCCGCCTCCTCCTCCTGTCTGGCGGGCGGGCGGAGGGTGAGGGCAGATGTCTCCAATCCACCTCTCTTGCTTTTGGCGAACGTCTGCTTGATGTCCTCTTGCGCGGTCGTTGCCTGACCTCCTCCTGAACCGTTCCCCCCTCCCCCTCTCCCCCTCCCTTGTTTTCAGTTCTAAGTCTGATTCTCATCCTCACCCTCTTCCCCCTCCACCCCCCGCTCCGCCCTCCCCCTCCCCCCTTCCCCCCCCCTCCTCATCATTCTTCCCCGCTGCCCTCGTCCACGGGTCGTCGCCCTCGTCCACTGGGTAGAGGAGGGCGCCGGGGAGCAGGGAGGGCGGACCCAGCGATCCCGGCGGCGCACTCCCTTCTCGCACGGGGCGTGTTCGCCCCGACCCCCTCCTCTCTGGTGTCGCAGCTGCGTCGAGCGTCCGTCGATTCCGGTCGAGCCTGACTCGAGCTTGGGTTGCTCTTGAGTCGAGCCAGAGTCGAACGGACCTGCTCGGTGGGCCCCGGGAAGGTCCCCCCCCCAAAGAGGATGTGCGGAGGCCCTACGGAGCCTGACTCGAGCTTGGGTTGCTCTCGAGTCGAACCAGAGTCGAGCAGACCTGTCCGGTGGGCCCCGGGGAGGGTCCCCCCCCCAAAGAGGATGTGCGGAGGCCCCACGGAGCCTTCGCCTCTCGACCCGGGGCTGTGCCAAAGCTGACAGCACCCGAAGGTCTTCCCAGGCGGTCCCCCGCCCCAGTACTGACCGGGCCCTGCGCCGCTTCACTTCGGAGGTCAGGAGAGATCCGGTGCCTTCGATCCTGCTCGAGAGAGGGGCCGCAGACGGAGTATAGGGTCCGGGGGGCCCGGATCGCGGCTCCGCGCGATGCCGCCTCGGTCTCGCAGCGTCGGGGTTCGGGGCCCGCCGGGCGTCGCCCGCCGCCCGGCGGAGGAGCGCGACGGGGGGGGCAGGGAGCGAGGAGCGGAGGGGGGGGGGGGCACGGAGCACGGAACGCGGATCGGAGGATGGCCAGTGCTCCTCCTCCCCCTTCTCCTCCTCCGCCTCCTCCTCCTCCTCCTCCGCCTCCTCCTCCTCCTCCTCCTCCTCCTCCTCCTCCTCCTCTTGCTCCTTCTCATTCTGCCCAGATTCCCCTGCAGGGGGACGTGCCCGACCCGACCCGAACACGCAGTTGCCAACAGGAGCAACATCGAAGCGTGCATCGCGCTGCTTCTACTGCGCAGCAGTATCTGGGACGTCTGGCTACCTTCTCCGATCTGGCTGCGACGGATGTTGGCTCCAGAGTCGAGGCGTGTTCTCTGGAGACCAGAGCGGGAGCGAGCGATGAAAACAACCCCTCCGACAGCAGACGCCACAGACTCCGACGGCAGCACCACCGACTCCTGCTCGAAGAGCACCGCCACGACATCGGCCCACGCCCCCCAAAAGACGATGTGGAACCCTGGCAGCACTGGATTTGGCGCGGGACATGGCGTATTGACGTTGGCCGAAAGTGCCACGAACTGGGGTACGAATCTTGGCGCGTGCAACAGCGGCGCCTAAATGTGATATTTCTTGCGACGGTTGTGAACGATGACGTGGAGTTAAGTGGAGCCGACAGGGTTAATGACCCAATCAAGGCTAAGACGTGCAAAGCGGCTACCAATGTGACCCAACAAAAGGTGGATCGATCATGTGGAAGGGTTAGTTCCCACAACATTTGGAGGGCATTGGCTAGCCCTGGCGTCGCTCAGCAGCTTAACGGTCACAATTGGAGGACGGTGGTGTGCACCACGGACAGATAGCCCCGGCGCCCATTCCCAGCCCCGCGCACGACCGCCCCCGCGAGCTGGAAGTCGCCTCGCTTCTCCTCGCAAAGCGCATGCTCCCGCAACGCGACAGCCTGAAGAAAGCGCCTCCTCCCCTCGCCTCGTTCTCCGTTCTCCTCGCCTCGCCGTTGCGAGACGCCTCCTCGTTCTCCTCCTCCCTTTCCTCCTTCCTTCCTCCTAGCCCTCGCCGTCGTCGTCCTCCCCCCGTCCTCCTCCCCCTCCTCCGTGGCCCTCCTCCCTGCCGCGGACGGCGTATATTTTTGCGATTCACCTGGCGGGCGGGGCCGGGCGGTGATGTAGATGGCGAGTCGTCGACTCTCTGCGCCACCCTGGCTCCGAATCCGCCATACTTTTTGGGCGATTTCGCGGGTGGGACGGAGATGGCCTTCCTACTTTTCTAGCTCATTTGATGTCGAGTTGCGCTCTGCTTTGCCGTCGCCGTTTTGAACAGATTCTCGCAGAAATATCCGCCCGATCTGTCCGAGGCGGAACGCCCCACCTTTGCGCACCGCTGAGGGGCCGCTTCCGACGCCTCTTCTACTCGGGGGCGGAAAAGAGGGGGGTGATTAGTAGGGGGGGGTGAATATGATGGCGTGGGCCATGATATTTCCCCAGATCTCATGGCGCCTCTTCTTGTTTCATTACGTGCCTCGGCCCCCCAGGGGCCGCGCACATGCCGCCGGCCATGATTTGCGCCCCCCCCTCTTGGACGCCCCCCTCTTGGCCGCTGCCGATCTACGTCGGAAAGTCAACCATGGCACGGCGGATCCGGAGCCAGGGACCGTCTGCACGCAAGAGTGGCCCCATGGCATGAGTGACCTCTGGCGCGCGGCTCTCGAGGGCCGCGAGGGGGCGGACGCGACGGACGCCCACGTTCGGGAGGGGAAAAAACACAGACACAATTAATCGTCGAAAATGTGGGAAAATATGGGGAGTGGGGGTGAAGACAAAAACCGAGAAAATATGAAAACAAATATAGGGAATCCTGTCAATTGTGTGCATTTATTTCTGTGTCCCAGGGCCCCTTCACACGTGCGCGCCGGGGGGCGCGGCCTCCGTAGGAACCGAGCGGTGGCACCCGCACCGTCGACACCCGAGCACGAGCATGGCGATCCCCGCGCGTCGCGTCGGCAGCCGGGCCAGGCGGTGGTCGGGCCTCCTGGGCGCCCTTCCCGTCCGCGGTGGGGCCTCACATCGAAGAGGAAAAAACGCGGTAAACATAAACTTTTGGCGCTCCGCGCGGATTTCTTGGATCCGCGCTGGGTCCCCCCTGGCGGCGCCTCCGGCGCCGCCGGAAGGGGGGGCCAGCGCGGATCCACGAAAACTGCGCGGAGCGCCAAAAAGTTAATGTTTATGGCGTTATGTATTATCATATTTCTTCTTATTATTCTTCTTCTCCTTCTCCTTATTCTTCTTCTCTTTATATTGGTACCATTATTATTATTCTTCTCATTATCCTTCTTATTATCCTTCTGATTATCATTTCTCTTCTTCTGCTCCTTATTCTTCATGTTCGTCTTCTTCTGCCGAAGGCAGCAGCCGCGGTCCTCTGCACGGCCCCCCTGGCGCGCACGGCCAGGGCGGCCGCGAGCAGCGCCTTCCCTCGCCCTGGGCCCCGAGGGAAAAAACACAGACACAATTCATCGTCGACTCCCAGGACAGCATGCGACAGCATGGGAAGTGGGGGGGGGAAGACAAAAGCCCACAAAGTCTGGGAAACTACGGGGAATCCAGTGATACAGTGTGTATTGGTTTGTGTGTCCATGAGCGATGAACGATGAACGATTCAGGCAGCGATGAACGATTCAGGCAACCCGATCCCGCCGAACGATTCCGGGCAACGAGGAACGATTCAGGCAGCGATGAACGCTTCGGGCAACGAGGAACGACGAACGATTCGGGCAACGAGGAACGATTCAGGCAACGAGGAACGATGAACGATGCAGGCAGCGAGGAACGACGAACGAGTCGGGCAACGAGGAACGTCCAGCTTCGCTTGCCGAGGAACGACACGGGCCACTCGAGGCGCGGCGGGGCGTCTGGCATCTGCCGGGCGCGCGCGCCGAGATCCGAGCCCTGCCCCGCGCCCCCCGCCGACTCCGGGCGGGGCCAGGGCCTTTTGGCATCGCTCGGGCGTGTGCATTTTTCTCGGCGAGAATTAAGTCGGGCGTGTCCCCCTACAGGGGGATTTTCGATGAAGAATAGAACAAGACACCAAAAATGCCCCCAGAAGGTCAAGAAATAGTCAACAATCGTCCCCAGACTATTTTTGGATTATTTCTTCATCATTTTTGGGGTATTTTTTATTTTCCGTCGAAAATCCCCCTGTAGGGGGACAGGCCCGACTTAAGGCGAGAACCATCGAGGACCATCTTGGACCATCGAGCACAGGGAAAAAAACGCAGGACATCGAAAAGTGCACGGGAAATTGACGTCCGAGCTACGGCAAGGGACGGGGATCGGTCCTTTCCAGAGCGTCGGAGCGTTCCCCAGAACGCTCCTGAGGAGGCCGCCGGATCTCCAATATTCTCGGAGGTGGACAGACCTCCTACCCTGATACGTCGATTAAGGAATTGGCCGTTTTCGGTTCGCGAGAGGGCGTCGCAGCCGTCATTTTTGCGGGTCCAGATTCGTCGGTTTCGGGCCCAGGCCGTTTTTACTAAGGGGAGGTCTACTAAAGGGAGGTTTGTCCACCGCCGAGACTCATGCCTCCTGCTTTATCCCCGCCCGAAGTTGTCCTCTCCCTGGCTTCGTCTGACG